TTCATCCTCCTCCTCTTCCTCCTCGTCCTCCCTCTGAGGACAAACAGCAGCGCTTTTGTTCGGCCTGTTGTGTAACTGCTCTCCTTTGTCTTTACTTCCTCGCTCAAACACGACCCGAATTACAACCGTTAAAGAACTGAGCTCCTTCCAACTCACAGCTTACAGCCAGGTTTTCAAAATAAAAGCTCTCCACACGCCCCTTTGTGTGTACCTGGTGTGTCAGTGAGGTGTGTGTGTACCTGGCATGTCAGTGAGGTGTGTGTGTGTGTACCTGGTGTGTCAGTGAGGTGTGTGTGTGTGTGTACCTGGTGTGTCAGTGAGGTGTACAGCAGGTATCCAGCCTGTGTGTGGACGATGCCTTTAGGTTTGCCTGTACTTCCTGATGTGTACAGCAGAAACAGAAGATCTTCACTGTCCAGAGGCTCCGCAGGACAAACAGCAGACTGAGAGGACATCACCTGCAACACAGATACAGGTACTGATACTGATACTATTGATACTGATCTGATACTATTGATACTGATACTATTGATACTGATTGATACTACTGATACTGATACTGGTACTGTGTCTCACCTCCTCCAGGGGGACGTCCAGCTCTCCCATCGCGGTCGGCGTCTCCGTCCTCTGAGAAACAAACACGTGTTGGACAGTCGGGCAGTTCTTCACCGCCGCGTCCACCGTCGACTTCAGTTTGACGAGTCGGCCGCCCCTCACACCTTCGTTACAGGTGAGCACGGCTTTACACTGTGCTGTGAACGCAACACATGTTAGCTAGCTAGCTGTTAGTCAGCTAACTTTACCCAAACAACAACAGCTTCTAATTTCTCACATCAACATTACGAATGTGGAACATAACATTAAAGTTATGAACGAAACACTGACTGTAGGTGTTAGCGTGTGTTAGCTGTCTCGTTTATTCACCATCACACGAACAGGAGTGGACTGTGTTTCTGTCCTCTCTCTCTCACATAAACACTAAACCTGCAGTTTTATTGTCTCGTCTCTGGAACTTTCTCCTCTTTAAAGGTGCTGAACAAACCTTTGAACTCTTTAAACCTTTAAATAAAATGATAAAATGCTGTATCCTGTTCACAGACTGATGCTGTATGAACGTCTCCAGGCTGAAAAGACGTCTCAACAGATTCCTCACAAGGTTTTTCAGATGAAAATAAAAGTGCATGTTAGCTTTATTCATCCAGCATGTCCTAAGATGCCTAAATGGCTTTGTGCTATCTTAGCTTCATGCTAATGCTTGCTAACCTTAGTTTGGCTGCACATTAACGTTATCACCAACAAAATACTATCTTAGTGGATGTTATCCATGAGACTAACAGCAGGGATGAGGGTCATAAATTAGTATCGGTTGGGTTAGCCAGCTAACCACTCAGACTTTGTAACAATAATGCTAGCGAGCTTGTGTTTTTTAATGTTTTCAGTTTTTTCAGGTGTTTTTATGTCTTTTGTTTTCTACTAGCTGAGAGTGCTGTGAGGCAGTGGCATCCTTGGTGGCATAGGAACATTACAGATACAGTGAGACAATCTGAATATGATTCATTTCATTTACAGCATTCAGTCTCGTGTAGATTATCTCACTGTGATTGTGTGAGTGCTGCAGTTAGCTTAACAGTGCTAGCCACTGCATAACTGTCTTAGGCTCCACCCACCAAATACATCATCACTGTACTACAAACACATAAAAGGTAAATACTGCCTCTATAACACCTCACACAGTCTCACAGTTGACCGTCCCATCATGCTCTGCTTCACCGTGTTTGGGTTTCACTGTTTCCAAAACACAGAAGTCCTTGTGTCTGACCTCCTCAGATCTGCCTCATTATATCTGAGCTGACAGGTAGAGCGAGGCATTCGTTCTGAGTCAGTTCCCATCAGGCCTCAGTGTGATTCTGTATGCGTTCACAGACCTTTTTGCTGCTTCGACTGTAAAATGTCTTTTAATCAAACAGCTAAGATAAAAGAGTCGCCCACTGACCAACCCTCACAAAGGTTCCACTACAACCAATAAGGTTATGTTTGTTTCAATAATAACAATAAACTTTATTTAATATTCCCCCACTTGTACTTGTACAGTATTTACAAACTTACAAAATGGACATTTAAACCAGAAGTGTTCATATTTCAGCTCCCAGTGGGCTGATTGTGATTCACTTTGAGTCAATTGTTGAAACCAAAGACATTGAACTTTCTAAAATGCAGGTCCAGTGTATATCAATAACTTCACAATGAATCCCAATCAGCCACTGGCAGCTGAAATATTTCACTTCCTGTTTAAACGTCCATTTTGTATTTTGAAAATGTGTTCTTATTATAATTTACGTTTTTGCTCTAAAAACTACCTGAACAAGCTAAAAGAGGTTAAAAAGCTCTGAGGAGCTGCAGTTCCTTCAATGTCCACTAGGTGCTGCCCCAGTAAAACCCCACATTGTGACTCAGGTTGGACCACGATGGAGGAAGACTCACCATCCTGGATCCTCCCTGCCAGAGCCTCGGAGCTGAAGCCAGCAAACACAACGGTGTGCACCGCACCGATACGGGCGCACGCCAACATGGCCGCCACCGCCAGCGGCGACACCGGCATGTAAATGGCCACCCTGTCCCCCTTTTGGATCCCGTGGCTCTTGAGGGTGTTGGCGAGGCGGCACGTGGTCTCCAGCAGCTCTCTGTTGGACAGACATCAGGACACTGAGGGTGATGGTGCTGAAGAAGATGATTATTATTTCTTTATCATTGTAATGACGTTATTAAAACAAGAAACGCTGTAAAATAACTGACAATCATATTTAGAATAACGTTACTATCTGCAATGTTCCTATATTTTATTTGGACCATTGACTCCATACTAATAACTAGACAACACCACGAAGCAAACAAGTCCAACAGAGTCAACCACAGAGTCCAACACAGGATCCAACACAGAATCCCACATACAGCAGAGTCCAACACAGGTCCAACACAGATCCAACAAAGAGTCCAACACGAGTCCACAACACAGAGTCCCATACACAGAGTCCACAACACAGAGTCCAAGTGAAGCTAACATTACTGCAAGCCTTGTGGGAACATATTTGTCTGATTTGCTTTTTTGCTGACAACTACGAATTGCAAGCTACTTTAAATCCTGGGTTGTCCAGCTGGCCGTGTCTTGTTGTACGGTGTGGGTCTGGGCGGATCGCTGTACGGTGGGTCTGGGTCGGTCGCTGTACGATGTGGGTCCTGGGTGTAGTCTCTGTACGGTGTGGTCTGTGTCGGTCGCTGTACGTGTGGGTGCGGTGTTGGGGCGTGGTGTTGGCTGATGGCTGATTTGTAAACAGCGAGCTAGGTAGTAGCATGGAAGCTAACAGGTCTAAATAAAATATAGGAAACATTGCAGATAGTAACGTATTCCTAAATATGATTGTCATTATTTTACAGCGTTTCTTGTTTAATAACGTCATTACAATGATAACGAAATAATAATCATCTCTTCAGCACCATCCCCTCCCAGTGCCCTGTATGTCTAGTCCAACAGAGAGCTGCGAGACCCAAGTGCCCGCCTCGCCCAACACCCTCAATAGCCAACGGATCACAAAGGGACAGGGTGCCAATTTTACATGCCAGGTGTCCCGCTGGTGGTGGCGGCCATTGTTGGCGTAGCCCCGTACGGTGCGGTGCACACGTTGTGCTTTGCTGGCTTCAGCTCCTGAGGCTCTGGCAAGGAGGTCACAGGAATGGTTGAGGTCTTCCTCCATCGTGGTCCAACCTGAGTCACAATGTGGGGGTTTACTGGGGGTCACACCTGT